TAACATTATGAGAATGAAGTCGCAGCATTAAGAAAATGAAGTCGCAGCATTAAGAAAATGAAGTCGGAACATTACGAGAATAAAGTCGCAGCATTACAAGAATAGAGTCGCAGCACTACAACAATAAAGTCGTAATATTATGAGAAGCTGGCGCGCTAAAGGATTTCCTTATTTGCTGCTCGACATTCCTCATTTTAGGGAAGACAGTGCTCCTTGTAAGAGTTGTCATAAAATATTACTTGTGTACTATCACGACTTTAATCACATAATGTCGCGACTTTTTTGTCAAAATTTTGATACTTTATTCTCGTAATGTTACAACTTTATTCTTGTAATATTACGAGTTTATTCCCGAAATTGTGACTATTCTGGTTGGGACTTTATTCTCATAATTTTATTACTTTAATCTCATAATATTACAACTTTATTCTAGTAATTTTATGACTTATTTCTCCTAATTTTAGGACATTATTTTTTATAATATTACGAATTTATTATAGTAATTTTGTGATTATTGTCGTTGTGACTTTATGCTCATAATTTTATGACTTTATTCTAGTAATTTTATAGCTATTCTGATAATATCATGACTTTAATCTCAAAAGAAAGAAAATCTCTAGCCTGGCTGTAATATTTTTCCTTTTTGTACTTTTTCTACTGCTGAGCTCTGATTGAAAGAAACAATATCTGCACTTTCTTAGATGTTTTTGCTGCTATGCAGCTTAACTTGAGAAAACAATCAGGAGGCTTCTGGTTTCTCCCTCTGGATGATTTTTTTCCAGTTACTTCCCGTCAGGAATCTCCTGTCTTTGGGACAAAAACCAAAACCCACTGGGATCCATCAGCTCTGGACTGGGAGGGTCTGGGATTACTGAGGCAAACTAACAACAGAGCTCAGGTAAAAACTGACCCCATGAGTCTTAATATGTTGTTTAAACACATTATTCATACAAATTCATGAAGGAAGGAAGAAAATATGCAAATTAAAATGGAAATGAAAAAGACTAGAGCTGCTGAAACTCATATCTGTTGAGTGTTCAACTGCTTAAATCAAGTCCACACCCTCCATGATGAGGTTTTATAAAATAAAATCATTTTCTCCTTCTGAAGCGTTACATTAACTGCTCCAGTTTTAATGTTAAACAGCAGCAAACGTTTGGAACATAAACACTTTGTTCACCTGTCAACGGCTAACGAGGCTAACAGAAAACTTAAGCTAAAGTTGATAAATTTAGAGAACAGACTCAGCTTTCACAAAAACCACTGCGACATGAATTCAGCAAACACTTACCGAGCAGCTTCGCAAACACAACTAGTCAACTCGAAGTTATTTTTTTGTTTTTCCCATATTAAAAGGGAATGCTAATCACTTAGCTTTAAACGACAACCGACAGACAGTCGCGGGTCTACCGTTTGAAAGATTCAAGCTGTTTCCAACCAGAACGCTGCGCATGCGCTGTTACTGTGTTGCGTTCAGGAACCAAACGTGAGCTCGGAATGTGAAGTGATAACTCCAAAAAGTAATCGTCAAATAAAACCAGTAACTCTGCGTTTGTTAATAAAAAATGATTTTTCTTTTTTTTAAATAATCCTAATATTTTAAAGATTTCATAAGGGATACAAAAAGTTTACAAAGAAATAAAGCCTATCGACTAAGGAGTTGATAGGTAATACATAGACATTACGTACGTAGACGCCTCATTGGACGCTGGCCGACGTGCCTAGATAGCGGCCATCTTGGATCAGACCACAGTTCAGACAGCTGCTGTCAGAATGAATAGGAGGCGCTTTAGATCTAACTTTAATCACAAGAAAGACGAGTCTCAGATGATATTTCAATAATCTCTTGCAAGACCCCTTAAAAGACCAAAACAAATTCTAAAATATAAATATATATATTATGTATTATATTACTCATTCACTGATTAAAGAACAAATGTTTACATATGTATATATAATGATTAACAAAAACAAAAAAAAGATTTTAGGAAGACGTTTAGACAAACCTATAAGAACAGAAAGCTTTTAATTAGACACAACATAAATTTACCATTCACTACGATTTTACAGCAAAGTCTTGACAATGACAAAAAATAAATAGAAATTAACATCAAATTAATTTTAAAAAACTAATTAATAACTTTACTCTCTTTTGTAACTCAGAAAAAACATTTCCTCTATACATCATGATACTCATTATCAAAGAGCAATCCTTAAAAAATTACTAATAATAACAATAATATACTATATAAATATATAATATTTGTAAAACATAATCATATAATATAATCATATAAAAAATTTATTATACTAACATTTAATTTTAAAAAATATTATTTTGTATATATGTCATCCAGTTTGAGTTCAGTTTAAATAGTTTTTATTTGAATAATTATGTGTATTCTAACTGAAAGGTAACTTTAAAAATTGTTTTGTCTGAACTATGGTCTGATCCAAGATGGCCGCCTTCTAGGCGCATCGACCTCGCTACATATATAATGTCAATGGGTAATTATAATAAAAACTATTTTTTGAACATGTCCTGCAGTTCTTGGTTGAGGAATTTATCTTTCATATTTTCTCAGAAACTGCAGAAAAAAACAGGAGGATAATATTTCCAGGTATAGTCGGATAATATGAAATTATACACACCATGTTCTACGTTAAGCAGCCAACCTTTGAAACAAGAAACCTCTCTGTATAAATGTTTAATCAGTACAAAAATAATATCATGTATCTTGATTTTAACGCTCCTTTTATCCATTAAATAAATGGTGATATATATACGTATATATATATATATTATTACTTTATATAATATTATCAAGTGAGATATATTTTTACATTTTTACAAAGTTAGAAATATCATCATACATGTAGACAATAAATAGAGACAAAATTCAAATCAAATGCAATTTTATTTTAGTCAATAAATAAAAACCATCATTTACAGACATCTTAAAAAAGACAAATATTAAAACAACTTCTTATCAAACTTCCTCTGAACCATCAGCAACATTCCATCTCTGTCACTCTCTGCTTCTTAGGGTCTTTATATTCATTCAATTAGAGCAGGAGCCCGAATGTCTTCCTAGTAGATTGGGGCGCCTGCTGGGAGACATTTTTAAAAACTCTGGATAAATAAAGCCGCTCTTGTCCTTAACAGGAGGCTAAGAAAGGAGTTCATATCAGAATATCACTAACATGAATAAAAACTAGAAGGGTTTATCAACACAGCTCTTAAAATGATTCATTTCAAATGGTTAATGCAGGTTTATATATCACCAGTGGACCTTAATAGGACCTTAATAGGATGCATGATGTATGTCCAAAATGCACAGAGGAACTCTGGTTCACTGTATGTGGGATTGCAGGAAAATTATACTGTTTTGGAAAGAGGTAAAGTCCAAAGAAATAATTCTTGAGCCAAAGCTGTTTGCGTTTGGACTGTACCCTGAAAAACATAATTATAATCAAAATGAACAAACATCTATAAACTTAAGTTTGCTTAATGTGAAAAGGTGTAGATCAATGTTCTGACCATAAACCGATGGCTGCAGCAGACGTTATCTGCCCTCCCTTTGGAAACAAGGATATAAAGGCCAAACAGGATCAGTTCTGGAATTCCTTCATTAGGTATGTCAAGAATTCCAACGTCTCAGATGACCTACCGCTGTTACTGTGTTGCATTCAAGAACCAAACATAAGCTCAGAATGTGAAGTTA